AACAACAGGTTGTGCGGTGTAGATCATTAGTTCCCACACCGCCTTCTTCGACGGCGCTGATAATAACGTACCCAACATTTCTCCCCACCTTGGAAGACGCAGGTACCTTCCAAAAGAACAGACTTCTTGCGGTCAATCTTAAAGTTACTTACAAAACATAAAAATAAAATAAAATAACTATGAACAAAACACTACAAATTACAAGGATCGGCAGGATGTTCACGAAAGATTTTTTTTTGAATGGGATAGTGAATGGAGAGGTTAGGAAGTTGTTGTGTCAACCGGAAGCTTGACCAGTTTGACCACAGGACGCTGCATTTCTCCATCTTGAGTTTTTAAAGTGACCACACGAACTATCTGGTCGGGCCCTGGATGGACGGCGATGACGCGACCCATACGCCAAACATAAGGTGGCTGGTTTGGAGCGTCAATGATTACTACATCACCTACTGCGAGATTGTCCGACACCTTCGTCCATTTCTGACGGGCCTGCAAGGTAGTGAGGTATTCCCGTTGCCATCGCTTCCAAAAAGATTGATGCAGTTGACGCAATAATTGCCATCGTGTCAATCGATTTAAGGGTACAGAAGTGACATCCTTTTCTGGGATCGACGACAGGGGTTGGCCAATGAGGAAGTGTCCAGGAGTCAGGGCATCAAGATCATGGGGGTCAGTAGAAGCTGGTGTCAACGGTCTTGAGTTTAGGACGCCTTCCACCCTGGTGACGACAGTTTGAAACTCTTCGTATGTTAATATTTGAGTTCCTATAACAAGCTTAAGGTGGAACTTTATACTTTTTATTGCTGCTTCCCACAGCCCACCGAAGTGCGGTGCGGCTGGAGGATTAAAATGCCAGTTACACTCGATTCGAGAAGACAGCCGGTTTTGCACTTCGTTGTCAGCAAGTAATGTTTGCAATTGCCTGGCAGCACCGACGTAGTTCGTGCCGCAATCTGAGTATAGATCTGTGGGCAAACCTCGACGAGAAACAAATCTATCCAGCGCTGCAAGGAATGCTTCAGTTGTGAGGTCTGACACTACCTCGACATGAATGGCTTTGACAGCCATGCATATAAAAACAGTGATGTACACTTTGGTAGTTCGAATATTGCGCCGCTTACGTTCTTTTACTAAGAACGGTCCACCGAAGTCCAAACCTACCTTGGAAAAGACGCGGTGTGGTTGAACTCGCGACTCCGGCAACCTCCCCATGCTTGGAATAGGATTTTGCGCCTTGTGTCGAGTACAAGGTACGCACGAGAATATCATACGACGTACAGTATCTCGACCAGACATTATCCAAAACCTTTGTCTCAACATAGAAATGACCAACTTTGGCCCCGCATGTAAAAAGGTTAAATGATAATGGTTGATGATCAATGCCGTTAAATGAGACGACTTGGGCAGGAGGCTGGGATGTTTCGCCTCTTCGGTCAACCAAGAACTTTGAAGCCTTCCGCCTACTCGGATTATACCTAAAACATCTATGAAGGGGGCTAATTGAGCCAGTGTTGATGGTGTCACTAAACGTTCGGGATTAGCCAATTGTTTGAACAAGACTGGAAAGTGAACACGTTGAGTGATACGGATCGCGACAAGAACTGCACGCTGTCGTTCCGCGAATGTGATGACACCGACTATAGTAGATCGTTTCATTATGACGCGGTAAATATAACGCAAGACGTAAACTAACACACGCTGTAACTGGTTAAACGATGAAAATCGACGGAGAAAACAATCAGCCTGTGGACCTTTCTGGACAAGGTTGACAGCGGCAACAGCAGGTTTGACATCAGGAAGGTGGTGAACAGGGATCACAGAGAATTTAGATTTCGGCCATTGGTGTTCGGGAAGACGGAGAAACGAAGGTCCGTTCCAATGCAGTGCACACGAAATGAGAGCTTCAGGTAACAATCCCCGCGATGATGGATCAGCTGGATTCTCGATTGTGGAGACGTGTGACCACACGCAATTTGGGACCAGAAGATGAATTTTTGCTACACGGTTTGTTACAAAAATTTTGAAACTCTTTTGATCAGTCGTAAGCCACAACAATACCACGGACGAATCAGTCCAAGCTTGTATCTTCGAAATGCTGACGGTAGGAGATAGTTTCATATGAAGACAATGTAACAGTTGTGCCAATAACAATGTCGCGCATAATTCCAACCGAGGAATCGTAAGTGTCATGTCCGTGTCGCTGTTCTTCAGTGGGGCGACCTTCGTTTTGCCTGTAAGAAAATGTACCTGTACTCTCTCCGAGGAACTGACCACACGTATGTATACGGTCGCAGCGTACCCTAATTGGGAAGCATCGGCAAAGCCGATGAGTTGTACATCACGGTAGTCACGAGTGTCAATATGACGAATGAGTGCTATCCTCGATAAAGACGGCAGTTCGGCCAAGAATTGATGCCAAATGATACTTAAATTTGAAGGAAGAGGAGTGTCCCAGTCTACGGACTGTTGCCAAAGTTGTTGCATAAAGGACTTGGCCCATAACAACATTGGTCCCAAAGCCCCGACAGGATCGAAAAGCCTCGCAATCGTAGACAAGACCCCTCGTTTGGTGTCCGGCGCGCCGCAGACGTTGATATGGTATCCAAACACATCACCACGAGGGTCCCAATGAAGGCCGAGAACCTTTATGAACGGTTCCTCCTCCAGATCGAACGATGGGCGACTTACTACCTATTCTAGAGAAACACACCTTAACACGCTTGCACTGTTGCTACACCACTTCTTTAACCTGCATCCAGCTGACTGTAGTAATCCAATGATGTGATTTTGAACGTGAAGCAATTCGTCTTCAGTGTTGCGCCCAACTACAATGTCGTCGACATAAGTGTTATGGGTCAGAATCCCCTTTGCCGCAGGAAATTGTGGCTCGGAGCATTGATCTAAAGCATGCAGAACCCGGATGGCCAAAAAGGGAGCGGAACTCAGACCGTACGTCACCGTTAATAATTCATATTCTTGTACATCATGGTCAGGTGAACTTCGCCACAAAATGTGATGGTATACACAATCTTCGTCACGCACCTCAATCTGGCGATACATTTTAACAATATCAGCAATGAATATAAATTTATATAGACGGCATTGAAGTAATAATTCGCCTATGTCGCTCTGCAATTTGGGACCGACACATAATGTATCATTAAGGAATAAGCCTGAAGACGACTTAGCTGAAGCGTCGAAGACAACACGCAGCTTAGACACATCCCCATCACGTTTTAATACCGCGTGATGCGGAATAAAGTATTTACCCGGTCTGGACGCAAGTCTCATATACCCAAGGGACAAGTAGTCGTCCATAAAGGAACGATATGCGTTGTATAGTTTAGTATCCTTACCTAGACGTTGTTCCAAGTTGTACAGTCGTTTTAAAGCTAATGACCTCGTGTCCCCTAACCCATGAGAAGGTACATTATTTTCGGCACGAAAACTATCTCGGAACGGTAAAGCTACACAAAAGCGGCCGTCCGACTTCCTCGACGTTGTTTGCAAAAACCATCGCTCGCAGCATTCGTCTTCAGTCGTAGGGGAAATTGGAGAAACTGGCTCTTCAAAGGACCAAAAACGACGCATCAGAGTGTCAATGGACGGATTCGAACTAGCTGTTAACGATGTCAAAGGCGATGACTGCCGATCCTGTGCGGAGACGGTTCCGATCAAGATCCAACCAAGATGCGTGTCTATCGCTGACGGGAAACCTGGAGTATGCTTGATTTCACCCTCAGTATGAATGAGATGAGGGAATAAGTCACCTCCAATAAGCATGTCGATTTTTGAAGGGTGATCGAACTGTGGATCTGCTAAGGCTAAATGTTGGTAACACGTTCGCACACTTGATGGTAACGGAGCTGATGGCAAATATGACGTGATTTGATTGAGGACTATCAACTCGGGACAATTGAAAATTGGACTGGAAGCATGGTGTGGTAAAAAGGAACACGTGACGCTCCCTCTCACTTGCTTAACGGGACTTTGACCCAAACCTAATATTTCGGTCCGGCATTTGCGGCGGGCGAGGCCTAGTCGAGTGACGCACTCAGTAGTAATAGCAGAAATTTGCGAACCACTATCAACTAGTATACGTACATTATCATAACTGCCGGCTTTATTCCGTACGCGTACGATGGCTGTACCCAACAGTACCGTATTATCTGCCCGTGCAGCTCCTGCGAAATGAGTACGTTTCTCAGTACCGTCAGAGGGGTCAGCGGTAGTCACCTGATTCGACGTAGATGGAGAAGTAGTGCCCTCTCCTTTATTCAAATGTAGGAGTGTGTTGTACCGTTGACCGCAAGCTTTACAATTATATTTAGACGAGCACGCGTTTACCATATGAGAAGCGCTCAAACATGAAAAGCATAGTCGGTTTTTCAATGCATAGTCACGACGTTTAACAGCTGACCATTTTTTGAACGTATTGCATCGGTAAATTGCATGGTCACCTTGGCAACAAGAACAATATTTAGTTCCCTCAGAGGAAGCCGAGCCTACGTTGTGAGATGATTTCACGGACGGCGAACTACTGGTTGTTCCTGTAGACAACAACGATCGAGCACAAGACGTGGGCTTAGTTTTGTTAGTGCGAGTGTCGACCTTGAATAGACCTTGAGTGTATTCTAATATCTTACACCGTTGTTGTACGAACTTAATTAACAGGTCAAACGTAGGAATCGAATCATGTGTGACACTGTTTACAAAAAGGCGACGCGTGGCGGGGTCAAGCACCCGCGAACCGATAAAAAACAAAATGAATCCCGCCAGATCTGTTACCCCCAACGCTTTGATTGCTGCAATGTTTTCTTGAAAGACGTTGACGAACGTTAAGAGCGACGGTAGTGACTCCGTAGTGATCGGACGAAAAGCAAATAACTTATCTAAATGAGCCGTGGCAAGGAGACGTTGATTGTCATAACGTTCGATCATGGCTCCCCAAGCTATGTCATAGTTGGCTTCTGAGAGGGGTATAGACTTAACAATTGTACGTGCTGACCCAGACACACACATTAACAAATAGTGAAATCGTTTTAACTTTCCGATCTTTGGATTAGTATGTACCAATGATAAGAAAGTGTCTCGAAAAGAACACCATTCTACAAGATTTCCATCGAAATTTGGTAACTCAATCGTTGGTAGTTGTATGAAATCCGACATATCATTAACATTACCTCCCATGCTACGAGGCGACGAGGCCGTAATTGTCGGCGGCGACGAGGGCGCACACGACAGCTTACGTACGACAAAACCAAAGAAAAAAAACACGAACAGAACGTGGTTTGCGTCAAAAAAAAACAACAACAACCGAACGAACAGACTGTTTTGCGACGGAACTCTTATTATCAACAAAAACAATGATAATAACGATACGCGCTATTGATTTCGATATCGATTTCACTTATCAGGGGAACAACAGGTTGTGCGGTGTAGATCATTAGTTCCCACACCGCCTTCTTCGACGGCGCTGATAATAATTAATAACGTACCCAACAGTACTACCTGTCATGTTATTTCTTTATTTCTTACAAATTCCCACTTTTTTTTAGGATTCGTATGGATATTCGATTCAGTGATCAGCACAAAGGATATATAGCACTCCCTTGATTCGATATTATATTGCAGATATACCCTTAAGTCGAAGCCTTAACAGCAGTGAATTTTAAATGATACTTTTTAGAACATTACTTCTCAACTGTTGGAGCTTATAGTATTAAAATATATTGCATTGTGCAGAAACTGTGTACTGATTTATAGTATATACATATATATAAATATAAAATGACTGTTGGCGCATAAGGTGACCACAATAATAGTGGACGAGCCTTGCCGCTATATAAGAAAGGATTTAGTGGACTGTATGATAGATAAAGGTGATTAAATAAATAAGAATAAGAATAGTAAAACAAACTGCCCGGTTGGTAATATAATCAACAGATAGTTAATGCAAATCAGCAATAATATATATATAAATTTGAATATATTAGAATACAACTGACCACTTTGTCCAATATAATTACAGTAAAAAAATAATTTAATAAGTCACAGCCAAGTTGACTCCAATAGCAGAAATAAATATAATAAATAATACAAATGCCTAAGGCAAAATAATTATACTAATAAAAATAAACTTATGCCTAAAATGGCTCTGGTAACAATAATAATAACAATACAATAAATCAATCTTGCCTTAACCGGATTTTATAACAATATAATAATAATAGCAAAATACCAATAGTGCCTCAGGCGGCCCTCCTAAAAATCATATAATAATTTATTACTAAGGTAACCAAACCACTAATACTAAATATCGAGCTGCAGCCCACACAACTACAAAAGTATAATTCACTTACGTGGCCACACAGAACAAATGGTACTGACACAAGACGGCCAGCCAAACAAAATGAACCACGTGCAATTCATAATAGCTGGACCAACAGATACTAAGTGTCAGAGTTGTCCTATTGCTGGTAAAGTGACAACCCTAGGCTAACAATAATAAAATATTCAAATTAGAGTCTCCGAACTATAATTACTAGACAATAGAAACAAGAAAACTGGCGTTGATCACAGCAGACAATAATATAAAAAAACTTCACTAGGCACGAGGTTTTTGCATGCACGACAACAAAAAAAGGTGGCTGTTACGTAATAACGATTTACTGGGTAGTGGGTATTACTATTACCCCTAAAGAGTACAGGCCTATAGGACTTAAAAAGAAGAGAGCGGATTTTTTAAATAACATAACGAGAATAACGAATATAGCCAATAATTATGTAAGCACCATCGCCGCTGTCGATGATAACTAAGTGCTTCCAACACTAGTGCAACACAACGGCAATAGGTACTCACAAATTATTGGCACCACTATACAGACATAAAACAAAACAACTAATAAATACACAAAACGATGACATTTTGATGATACTCGTTAAGATGTTACTATATCATTCCTCGCGATATGTATTGTTATATATGGTTCACTCAGTTTACGATATTGATGTAAAGTTTGTAGAAAATTGGAAAACGATTGTAAGGGTTATTAAGAAAAATGTAATGGTCAGTGTAAAAATAATAACATAAGTTTCTGTTTGAATAAAATCACAAATATAAATTTAAACCAACAAGAACATACCTGGTATATACCAATATTATACCCACGCAATAAGAATATTTCGAGGAAGAAATGAACAACTATACGTTATTACTTATTTGTTTAGAATAAAATAAAAATAGGCTGATATGAACGTTGTGTACTGGTCAGCTTTTGGAGATGCATTTCACTTGTAAATAGTAATGCCTTGCATGCAGAGATACACTAGTCTGTAGAAATACATTGCTCTGTACTCTGTAGATATACACAGCTGTGCAAAACATACTCGGCGTCTTTGACAATTGTTACTTGCCGTTATAAAACCGTTTCCATTCCCTGTTAGATTTCCGCGGAGCAGCATCGCGTGTGCCGGCTGCCTTTTGATGTTGCTTGCTTAATGATATTTATTTAATTAATCTGTTATTGATGGTTTCATCATATTATAATAATTTTTCTTCTTTGCTGTATTGTTTTTTATGTTAAAATACAGGCAAAATGTATGGCAATGATATACTACTGTGTTGTATATTTATGATTAAGAAGGTATACCTATAGACACAATTATTTTTAAATGTGTGACCACTTATAGTATGTCATCGTATGTATCGTTATTTATTCAATAACAATTTTAAAATTGTGATTTTTGGTTTATTTAAAAATAAATCAACTAACAAATTAAAGATACAACATTAAGTAGGTAGTAAAAAAGCCTCAAACAAATCATAAATACATTTCTCCATTCAAAAACAAAAATGTACTTGTTACTATAATACTATAAAATTATTATTTTACGGTTATGATATGTTTGCTGCTTGGGCGACTACAGCAGAATAGTTCAAGAACTGAACCGTCTGAACCTATTCAACTTCCGCCAGATTTGAATTCTTCGGAATCAAGTTGTCATAGTGTAATATATAATTATTGTCATGAGGCAATTCTTATTAAATGTTACTAAATATTACTGCAATAAGTATTTAAAGTTTGTAATATTTATTATTTTATTCCAAACTAAAATTATACTTGGTTCGCAGCCAATGTAAATTTTAAATATATACTGTACAAATAAAATTACTAAGAAAATGTTGTTTTATTAATTTTTTTAATACAGTTACTATTTATAAAAGTGTTTTTATGCAAAATTAAAATGTGATAATATTATGTAACAAAATACTCTAAATTAAATTTTAATTTAAGTAATTTGTCTTACTGAATTTTCAGATTATAATTATTTCTGAAAAAGCAATCATGTCTTGAATTTGAATCATAATGTTTGTATTATATAACAATATCAATATGTTGATCAATTCAAAAAATTAAGTTACATTTTAAAATCAATAAATTACGAATTTTTAAAAAAATGTTATCAATACTCTTAAGTCAAAATTGTATTCTTATTACCACTAAAAATCAATATATTATATGTTTATATATGTAATTATGTATACAAGGGATTTGATAAAAAAAAAAAGCTTAAACTGTTGAATATTTTAAAGAAAATCTTAACAATTATAAAAGTAAAAAATTTCCCATAAACTATCAAGTAAAGTTCTTAATAATTTTCGGTCTACTGACTTTTCAAACCCTAACAGTAAAAAAAATAAAGAAACAACTATGTGTCATATATTGATTGTAGGAATTATGCTTGTAGATGAATCATCACCAACTATATTAATTATTCATTATTTATGTAATGAACATTAAATCATAAACCATGTTTGCTTCTTCTTATATTTATTATTGTAAAATATCATATATTAAAACATAAGCTTTAAACAGCTATTTATTTGCATCATATTATGAAAGGTGAAAAAAATAAAAAAATAACATACAAAATTAAAGGATTTAAACCATAATGCAATTGGTATGAAAATGAAAAAACATAATTGTATAATATAATATATAAATTTGTATAGGTTTTACCAATAAATTATACTCATAAAAATTAACTATACTTTTGATTTGAAATATGGTAGGTATATGAGTATTTACAATAGAAAAAAAATTGTAAGTCAAATCCGCCGTGCATAAAAAAAGTACAGAGGAGCGCAGTCTCGGAAAATTATAGTTATGTACAATGTACAAAATAGGATACATAGTTTTTCCTCGTAATAATAATTAATTAATATCGCATTTCGGTACGTTCTCCGACCACATACGTTAATAACGAAAAACTGAATAAAATAGGTAAATAGGTAATATTAGGTATGCGTAGTGCTAGTGGACGATCAGTGGACAAGAACCCAACAGTATGTTGTGCAGACCCGCCATGTTTGTCCAGTCAGTGCGTTCGCCACCAATAACGAGGTTTCGTATGCAGCCTTTGAAGTTTTCTCTGGTTCCTAAGGTACCACTTGACGCAGCGTCTATAAAACAAGTCAACACATTCGTTACGTAAACACAGGTAAAATGTATGATGTAATATTTATAAATTGTAAATCACATGATGTTTTTATGTTTGACTTAATTAATTACGAGGATTAATTAGATTGAGATTACGCTATACTATTAGATAGAAAATAGAAAATAATATTTTCAATATCATAAATAGTGTCAAATAAACAGTTTAATTTACCTGGTAGTCCGCCAATATACAGAGGACTGTGCGTACGCGCTCCGGTTATGTGCCCGTTGTCAAGAAGCCAATACTTTTGCTCAAACTGATCAACTTTCAGTGTGAGTTTGTCTTCAACGTAGAACGCTTGAATCTGATGCCATTTGTTGTCGCAAATCGCAAATTCTGATTGGAAGCTCTGTTCTACCCGGAATGGCCTGCGGTCACCCATATCACCAGATATAATTACTTTACCTTGGTTCAGTTCCAATGACAACGCTGGATAGCCTTCCGGCTCAGACACGGACAGAAGGACAGCGGTCGACTGCGTAGTTTTTAGCTCCAACGACAACTCCAACAATGCACCCACATAAAATTTGTTTTCTGTAATTTTTTAAAAGAACAATTAAAATATAATGCTAATTATATTTTACAATGATATTTATATTATTAAACGTGCAGACATTTTAAGTGTCTTAATGTAACACATATTGTAGAGAGACAAAAGAGTAATCATTACAAATTACCACACAATA